ACAAAGCAAGAAAATCAAAAAATTGAAACAAAACCAAACATTCAAACACCAAAAAGAACAAAAAAAAAAAGAACAACCTAAAGCATTGAGCTTGAACAAAAGTACCTAATTACTGTAAATTATTACAAGACAGTTAGCTCATTCAAACAAAAAAGTCGGCACAAATTCAGATTTCTTTAGTATTTATGTTCCTCAAGAATCAATTTTTTTGAACAATTAGAGAGAAGGGGGGAAAAGGGTACCCAAAAAAACCTATGGACTGTGTGAAAAACGAGAAGCATAAGAAACAAGAATTAAGAGATCAATACCATGAACCACCCAAAATAAAGGGTTTTTGAAGGGGAATCTGAGATTAATGTGAAATGTTTTTCCTCTTTTTCTAAAGCAGAAATAAGAGAAGAAAAAGCTTCCCTTCTTCAGTCCCCGCCACAAGATTTAACAGACACCATTGCTGGGTTTCTTATTATTGTGCTCTTCTTCTTTTTTCCCCCAACTCAGTGAACTCTCACCTTTTGGCTTTTGGGTTCTTCTATTATTACAATATGACTGGTTTTGATGTGAAGCCAACAATTGACTCGGTAATAAGTTATGGTAGATTTACCTGTTGTATATAGAAGATTGTCTCCACTATCGAGTCAATTGTTGGTTTCATTGCAAAACCGGACAAAATTCAAGATTAATCTTTTTTTAACATTTTACAAAACCAGTAAATAGACAAAAATACCCTTTACTTCTAAGATGATGATTGTCTTCCCAAAGAGGTGGTTGGTTTTGTTTGTAATAATTCCAAGATTGATTAAAGAACCAAGTTTTTTTTCTTTTTTTAATAAGAACCAAATTTTATGTGCCTAATTACTTATTTTATTGTCATAACTTATAAATAAAAATAAATAAAAATCTTAAAAAATCTAAAATTTTAAAAAGTCTTTAAATGTTACATAAAAGTGACAACTCCATTTAGAAAACCAAAAAGTAAATAAATAAATAATTTTATCATTTAAAAAAAAAGGAATCATAATTGTGCTCAGAGAAAAAGCAGAAAAAAAAAAAACAGAAATTCTATGACACTACATGTGGTATTTTTTTATGGTGCCACAACTATCACACATCATGTTGTGGCATTAATTATAATGTGTCACATCATGTTGTGACACGTGGCACATATGGTGTCATAGAATTTCTAGAGAAAAAGAGTCCGAAAAAAAATAATAATAATAAAAAAGGAAAGGACTATCTTCAATCAAACCATTCACGCGCTGTCCCCACTCGCTTTTCAGTAACATGCAAGCCTTTTACAGGCTCTATCATCTACGCGATTGATGGTGCGTGAGACCCTGCGCGTGGTGGCGGCATTTTTGCGGTTCGGCGGCCTGCTTCCCAAATTTGGACATTGTTGATGAGATTATTCACGAGACTGCCATCGACAAAACGAGTCAACAGTTTGACGGGTCGTTTTTGTCCTTTTGATGATGACCTACGACTACGACAGCCTTCGATGTCTCCTAGAACATAGATCCACCTGTCACGTGAGTCAGCACGTGCGTGTACAGTAAATAACTAAATATGCTGCACAATTTTTTATTTTTTCATTTTTATTCTTTATTTTATTTTACAATTGGATATGAAAAGAATGAATGTAATTTCACATTACAATTACAGCTATTAAATAGAACCAACTGATTATGGGTTCAATTCAGCTCCGTTTTTGTAAGCTCGAGCTTGATTCAACTCGACTAGTTTACGGTCGAGCTCGATTCGGCTCATCAGTTTTGAAATATAAGGAGTCGTTATGTAATTTTTGAACTTTTAGTACAATTCAACGAGGCGACACGTTAACATTAATTGTTGATCTCAGCTTAGTTTCATAAGGAGTCGAACCCGAGATCGAATTAACACTTCGAGTTTGTTTCGGTTGGACTCATTTGCGACTTGCATAGTCTATTTACAACTCATTTTTATGGATTTTGTTCAAAAAAAAAATGAGAGAAAATAATAATAATAATAATAATAATAATAATAATAATAATAATAATAATAATAATAATAATAATTGCGGTTAGTTATTAAAATTACAAGTATTTGAAGTTAAATATTGTTGGAAAAATCAGTTATAAAACTTGGGTTTGACCCGGTTTTGACTGAATTTTTTATGGCTAAATATTTAACTTGAGTTGAATTAAATATTGTAGAAAAATTCTACGTTTCGAGTAGATACTCGTGGTATATTTATTTTCTCAAAACTGATTTCGGTAAGTGAGAAATAAATTGTTAAAGTTAGCTATAAAAGGGCGCGTAAAACGTTAGTTGTGGGATTTGAAGGGTCAAGAGTCACTCCCACATTGGACTCTTAAATGAGTTTAACTCTCTTTATTATAATAAAGAGAGTTGGAGAGGTTACAACA